CAGTTGGACCGACACAAAATCGATTGATTTACACAGGAAGAAGCTGATGCACCACGTCGTCTTCACCGGCGGAAGCATTTACAAACCTCAGCTGCTGGCTCTTTGCCATGCAGGTGAGTGCTTCTACACGGGCCACTGGCTGGCCCGGCTGGCCACTTGCTGGAGAATTTTCAAGTTGACAAGGAATGCATGACAAGGGCAAGGTCATGGTGATGTCTTAGCCCTCCGAGGCGATATCATGGTCATTTCACCAGAATGCAGGGCTATAAAAGTGCTAGAAAAAGTCCAGAAACGTTGGGATAGAAAAGGGATATGATATAGTGGGATTAGCAAAAAAGGTGACCCCCCAATAGTGTTTTGGGGTGGTTTCGTTGGCTTATTAAGCACCAACAAGGCAGTTTTAATCGGGGTTTATCAAGCAGCATCAACCAGCTATGGTTGGGAACAACATGGAGTAACCCTAAAAAAGTTTGGGCTGTCCGTACCTAGCTTTTTGCCATTGTCTATCAAAGCCCGAGATGAGGAGGATTCATATCAAATTTGGATGAGCCATGAAACCGCAGTTCGTCATAAAATTAATCAACCATTTTTGGGGAAAAAACATATTCCAAGTGTTTAAACATGGTTTCCAGTTGGTTTTCCGTGAATGGTTTCCAGTTGGGGCTGCTAGCAATCGCCAGATGCCCGAAGCAGCAGAAGCCTTGCGTGGACAAAACTTGGTCGGATCCCAGGGTCGCAAAAAGGTCGATCTCCTGACACTTTCATGGACAAGTTCTGCAGAAAAATTCATTGTCTATAGTTATCTGGTTGGTGGTTTCAAACATTTTTTATTTTCCAATATATGGGATGTCATCCTTCACATTGACGAACTCATATTTTTCGAGATGGTTAAAACCACCAACCAGCCATTATCTATAGTCAATGACTGATAGTCAGATATGAATGATTAATGATTAATTACTCAGATAATGATATACTTAATGATTGTTATTCAGATACTACTGATTAGTATTCAGATATAGTTCATGATTCTCATATTTAGAGACATAAATCCCAAGTTGGGATTTGGAGTGGCCAATTTCTTCAGAAAAACATCTGCCGATGTCATGCCATACTGCCGAGTGAGGTCTACTTCAACGGCGCGTTTTCTCCTCCGACGCACGGCACCCAACGTGCACCAGCCGTGGCCATTTCGAGTAGCAAAATCCAGGAGCCCATGGAGGTTTCCGAAGCGACAATGATGACTACCCTCTGGTTATGACTAACATAGCCATGGTATAGATGGCCCATAGAAATAGACGGTTTACTGAACTTAAAAATTGTGATTTTCCATGGCTGTGTTAAATAACCAGATGGTATAGGTTTATGAAACAATAATTATAACTATTAGTTATATATATATAATTATAAGTTCTAATAATTAATATAATGGATGTTTCCTAAACCTATATCATGACTATAATGATTATAACTATAAGTTCTGTTTTAACAATCATCATATGGGTATACAACCCGTAAGCTATAGTTATTAACAGAAGTTGATTAAGTTGATTAAGTTTATTAACAACCATGAAATATTGGCTTATCAACTATAGATGGATTATCATATGGGGGGTTCCATAGTCATGGGGGTACCCCAAGCTCGCTGGTTGGTAAACATTTCGGAAGGAAAATCCATCTATAAATGGATGAGAACTGGGGGCACCCCTATTTCTAGATCAATCTTGCATGGATACTTTAATCCTTTAGTCTTTTGGTATTAATGGGAATATCTACTAACCAGCAAAGAATTTATTTTTTTGCAGGGTATCTAAGATTGGCAATGGAAACCACCATATACCCACTGGTTCGTGGGGGGTTCCATCGACTAGTTTTCCAAGTAGGTGCACTTTGATGTGCTGATTTGACCTGGGTAAAGGTGAAGACTGATTCGAGGAACTACTGAAAACAACTAAATAAAACCTGGTTGGTGGTTTCAAACATAATTTCGTTTCCATAATATATGGGATAACCCTTCCCATTCACGAACTCATATTTTTCAAGATGGTTAAAACCACCAACCAGAAACAATTACTATAATTTAGCAATTAATTTCACCATTGCCATATATAATGGGCCAGTATACCATTATTATTTCTCTCCATGAATTCACACCCATAATGTAATCAATGGCCATTTCAGGAACCTAAATTGGAGGTACCTACCATATATAAGGCCTTTATAAGGCCTATGTAAGGGAATATCCCCACAAAATATGGCCTTAAATGGCACAATACCTCCATTTTAGGATGAAATTCCCATTGATCAGAGTTGATGGTATACTAGCCCATTATACCATCGTCTTATACCTATTAATTATACATTATTAATACCAGATATCATCGGCTTTTTTTAAATGTAATAATTGCCCGGTTTCCAAAGAACACTCATCCCGCCCATCTGAGGGAAAGTTGCTGAAGCTAAGGTGTGCTCACGCCCACATCGCGGCCACGATTTGCCAAGACCCTGAGGCACGGCACGACGGCACGATGCTATGACTTTGATGTTAAGTATCAGCCAAAGATGCTGAAAGGTGGTTTGTAAAACAGCGAAACACGAAAGGCCTTGAACCATTTATAGCCATCACAATTCGTTGAATGTCAAACATAGATATTATTATATATATGGTGGTTCAAGCTTGATAGTGTCAATTGAAGACAGTTGATATAGTTCATAGTGATCAATCATGATCAGAATGGCACCATTTTTTAAATAAAGCAATCGCATACTTACAACAAATATAATGTGGGTAAAACAATCATGTTCATCAATTTTTATAATCCATGACTGGGGGATGGTTTATGGCATTGTTTTACACACATTAAAAATGAAAATATATAAACATAGTAACATAGCAATCCCACAATGGGTAAATATAGATAATCATCTCCATTATATGGCCAATAAATATATATATATATGAACCCATTAGAAAAATAGCAATCAATACTAGCCATTAATGTAGATCAAATATTGCCATTATATATATACATACATGTATAATGTATATGTATATATGGGGTATATATTGAAGTGACACCCCCACTAACAGTGGAATAAGGGATTTTAATTGTAACTTCCCAGCCAAAATTGCACGACAACCCAGGGACCAAAACCGCAAACAATTTGAGTGGCCCAATCTTCTCAATCCAAAATTTTCTGATGTTGAACCGAAGTATGAAATCACTCTGGGGGCAGCCTACTTGGAACCAGATCAAATCCTACTTGTTGGATAAAATCCCTTTTGGGCAAAGGGAAAGGCAGCAGTGCAGGGACGAGTTTGCTAAGGGACAAATTTTTCTAAGGGACAAATTTTGCTCAGTGACAAGTTTTGCTAAGGGACAAATATTGCTCAGGGACAAGTTTTTTCTAAGGGACAAATTTTGCTCAGTGACAAGTTTTGCTAAGGGACAAATTTTGCTAAGGGACAAATTTTGCTCAGGGACAAATTTTGCTAAGGGACAAATTTTGCTCAGGGACAAATTTTGCTCAGGGACAGGTTTTGCTAAAAGACAGATTTTGCTCAGGGACAAGTTTTTTCTAAGGGACAAATTTTGCTCAGTGACAAGTTTTGCTAAGGGACAAATTTTGCTCAGGGACAAATTTTGCTCAAAGACAAATTTTGCTAAGGGACAATTTTTTCTAAAGGACAAATTTTGCTAAGGGACAAATTTTGCTAAGGGACAAATCTTGCTAAGGGAAGACCCTTGCTTGATGTTGTGTTTTGTCTTGTGCTCTCGGCCGTGCTTTTGGAAAAGATAGAAAATATCAAAAGCACAACTTCCCATGCAAAAAGAGCACAAAAAGTGCACAACTTCCCGGATGATTTGATCACAAAAATTAGCACAACAAGCAGCACAACTAACCACAAGATAAAGCACAACGAAACCCACAACGTTTATGCTTAAAGAGCACAACTTCCCTGATCATTTTTGCACAACAACAAGCCAAGGAATAAATAAAAACATCTAATTGATTTTATATGTGGCACCGACCACAACTTCATCAACAAAAAAAACGCAAAAAGTGCGCAACTTCCCTGATAATTTGATCACAAAAATTAGCACAACAAACAGCACAACTAACCACAAGAAAAAGCACAAAAAAACACAACGTTTAGGCTTAAAAAGCACAACTTCCCAGCCCAAAAGTTTACAACCGCAACCCCCCCAAATCCCCAGCTTGTCCTGAACCTGCAGTCGACTAGGGCCTGCCAGCCCAGCCTGAGCCTGGATCCTGCTTGAGGGCCGTGCCACCCGTTAGTGTGGCCAGCTCTGGCACCCGTTAGTGTGGCCAGTTCTGGCACCCGTTAGTGTGGCTAGCTCTGGCACCCGTTAGTGTGGCCATCCATCTCTGGCACCTGTTAGTGTGAAGCCCCAGGTTAGCTTGAACACAGCCCTGTTGAGTTGCAATTTCCATGAGGGAACGTTGCATTAGGAAAGGGCTCCAATACACACTTTCGCTGCCTGGGGAGGTGAAAAGGACACATCCGATGCTGCAGCTTTCAAAGAATAAACCCATTTATTTGGTGGGCCTCCTTTGGTTCGATAGGATGGTGCATAATCTGAGTCTCTGTACTGGATTGCCCAGGATTTTTCAATATACAGACCTAAGCTCTCATTGGCTTATTCCGGTCAAAGTATATACAAACCCAACTTCTTTATGAACTATTGGGTTCATGCTGTGAAACCAACTTCTTTGTGGGTTGGTAGACTGACAAAATGTGCCAACCCAACTTCTCAATGGCATTTTGGGTCCATCGTGCTTGTGCTTTTTTTTGTCCCTGGATTGTGGTGACTGTTAGTGTAAGGGGGGACAGTCTAAGGTATTTATATATATATCTCTCTCTCTCTCTCTTAACCATTATTCACCAGTAGTCAGTATATATATGTATATATATGTATATGGTCAGACCTTCGCGCCTGGGCCGCCACCCGGAGCTTGTGGCTGCAGTGGAAGCGATGCAGTTGCACGAAGCGAAGGTCCACCGACTCTCAGTCGAGTGCAGAACCTGTCCAGGCCGGGCACGCTCCAGCGCAGACCCCCGGATGCTGCGCCGCGTTCGTGGGCTGTATCCGGCAGATCCGTATGTGGAACATGCACGGTTCACAACAGAGAGGAGTGACGGCGACCCAGTATGTGGAGAGGTATGGCGGTTATGGCAGATGCAGAGACATGGGCAACATCATGTGGCAAGTGGCGCTGGCTCTCGATCACCTTCAGAACGACAACGTAGGGGCAGCAAAAGATGCGATAGCGCTGATCGCCGTTTGCTTGGAGCAAACCTCTCTAGATGCAGGGAGGATGGATGTGGGGCTGCTGAAGATCCGCCAAGTGGGGTGTTCACCAACCGGACGCTCCCCAGTCATTCCAGAGGAAGAGCATTTGCCCCGCTGGCAGACCAGAGGTGGGTAGCCAACACCTTGTCCTACATCAAGGAGCTCGACACAATTGCCACAAAGAGAAGCGATGTCACCGGCAAGCCTTCCAACAAAGAGGGAAAACCAGATTCACAGGCAGATCCAAAGAAAGCTCCAAAGAAGACAGCCCGCCCCTGGAAAAAGAAGAATCAGGGTGGAAGCGATGCTGGCGGCGCTCGAGAAGTAAAGTGCATCGCAGTTCGATCCCTGCCTTTCGCCATTGAAAGACAGCCGGCTTGTGCGCAACTGACTATGATGGTGGCCAACCAAAATCAAATCTTCGGAAATAATAAGTCTTTACATATATTTAATGATACCAAATGGGATAGATACTACAATTAATTACCCAGGTATATCTCACATTGATTGAGAATGGATTAATACTACAATGGATACTATAATGGATTAATATATTACCCAGATATATCTATACAACCCATGTGATCTCACGCCTAACCAATCACCATTTCCTGCAGGTGGCCGTGTGGTTGGATCCCGAACCTGCTCGACCTGGGAAGGAAAGCCACTGGGGCAAAAACAACGCAGCTGCTCCATGGTGAATTCTATGGTTTATGATGTTTAGAACTGTAGGTTTATTTAAATCTGGGTAAATTATAACGACCTCACTGCGACCTCACTGGGAATAATGGTTAGTAGTAAGGGAAATCATTCCCAAATGGCCTTATTTCAGGTTAGTGAAATATTTTAATTTACAAAGATGTTTTTAGAAATGTTGGTTTATATAAATAAATTAAACATAACTATAATAACCCATGTTTATATGATGAGTGTTTTTTAATGATTGTTTTTCAACAACATAACCATCAGAAATTATGTATTATAATATTGTTTATTATGTTTATGTGGTTATTAGGTTTATATGATAATATATGATAATGAGAAAATCATGATGGGCTTTTATGGGTTTAGAATATACGGTTTTTCTATTAACATCGTGATAATATATCGCAATCACTTAAACGGATGTTTAGAAACGTGGGTTTATATGATCATGGGAAATATTCCGTGGATTATAGACAGCAAAACCAACATGATAATGGGTCTATATGATAACATATGATAATTTATTATAGATACTGGGGTTTATCAAAGCCCATATGATAATTTATTATAGATAATGGGGTTTATCAAAGCCCATATTTTTGTTTTATTTGAACATGATAATGGATTGATATCCTATGGGCCTATGGGTTGTAGACAACATCACCATGAACACCATCACCATCATGACAATGGGTTTTTATTACAATGACCATGGTTTATAGAACTCCATGGGCTTGTTTAATGATGGTTATGTTATAGAACTTCATGATAATGATCATGGTTTAATGATGATGGTTATGTTGTTCATGGACTTCGCCGACTTATTTTCCCAACTAAATTTCTGAGTCCTGCGTCAGATCAGATCCCGTTACTCATCTAATTGGGCTAAGGTTAGAAACCATCAACCATTTGATGTAGTTATGGTTTATAGCATGGTTGATACCATCCGAAATTATATACATATATATATTATATACATTTTATTTTTATTTTCATTATTATTATTATTGTTTATTAATTATTGTTAAATATAGTTATTTGATGGCTTATCCACCCATAAACATGGCAAACTTGAGTAAAGAAATCATCAACCATCCATATTTTGGTTTATCCACCCATTAACATGGCAAAATTAAATGCAAAAATTCAGGCTGCTGGATCTTACATTGCGCCAGCAGGATGGTGAAGCATCTTAGTGCTTTACCTGAACGCCATGGCTGCCATCCAATAAACCATGAGAAGTTAGCATCAAGTTGTTCATCCAGTGACCCAGTGATCACCCGGTGATGTAAACCCCGTTATGTGATGGTTATCTATCCAACATATCCCAACATGACTATGCTTCACGAACCATAAATGTGTAACATTTATATACATTTAATTTATGGCTAATGTTTTTTTCATTAGTTACAAACCATCCAGTAATGTGGGCAGGCACTTTCTGGTCAACCTGCCATCCGAGGATGGCAAAACGAGACCATGCAGGCGTCGGGGCTGGGTGCAGCAAATCTTCCTGAGGATGCCTGGCAGCGCAGCTACTTTGGATGTTCATACTTCTACTAAAACGTGTTGTATGTTGGCCACTCTTGTGAAGGATTCTAAGGTGTTTCAAACAATAATAAACCATCCCCAAAATCACCATAAATGGATGGTATACACCATTCCCAAATGAGTGGTTTATTATTGTTTTAACCGCATTATCGTACTTAAGCGCCCCCTTATTTAAAGAGAACGCAGTTTCAGTTCTCTGCGGCGAATTCCGTCGATTTTTCGCTGCTATTTGGGGACGTCCCCAAAAAACCAAACCATCGGGTCATCAATCCATTGCTAGGATTCGCAGCACGTACCCATTGTAAGATATCCATGAAAAAATCCATCAAACACCCATCGACATTTTTGTTCCCTCACCATTCCTTCACCGTTAAATCACCATGATATTCCAATAAAACAGCATTAAAACACCTGGCATTTCAAATGAAAAATTACTGTAAGAAATCACCATGGTGGTTTTTTAATTCAATCATCATTAAATGATCACCAACCGCCATTAAACACTAATTATATCACCATACAGCACCATTAACCACCATTACCTAATAATATATCCCATGAAATTTAGTCATTAATCATAATTTAACATTATATACATATTACATCCCATTAAGTCACCATTGAACAACAATTAAATCACCATTATCGGTTGATATATTCCATTAATGGTTGTGTATATTTAAATACATATCATCACCAAACCCATTATGGCAAAAAATGTCATTAATGGCTATCATGGGATTAAAAAAACATATCACCATTCAAATTATATCCCATTAAATCACCATAATAGCCCATTAAATATATATATATAATATAAGAAAACATCACCATTAACATGATATATCCCATGTTAAACAACATTATCCCATTAAATTACTATTAAATCACCATTATTATACCATTATCCAATGATCCAATGATATGTCCCATTAAATCACTGGTTGGTGGTTTGGAACATGAATTTTATGACTTGCCATTCAGTTGGGAATTTCATCATCCCAACTGACGAACTCCTATTTTTCAGAGGGGTAGGTATACCACCAACCAGATTTAAGACCTGCATTTGAATAGGAAAAAATAATGGGTGGGAAAATACCATTTAAAATACCATTCAATTACCATTATTAATTATATCCCAATGTAGAAAAGAGAGAACGGGGGACGTCTTGTCATTTGTTTTTTCTTGCCAATGCATATGTCAAAACAGAGAATGTGCAAAGAGGAGTGCAAAAAGCGCACTCTCACAGTCCCCTGTTCTGAAAAAACATGGGGTTGGAAGATTAGTTTCCATTAAAAAATGGTGATTTTCAGGGTCTATGTTAATTTACCAGAGGGTAAATCCCATTCATACCCCATTCATATCCATCAAATCCCAGTTAATATCCATTTAATTTTCCAAAGGGTATATCCCAATGTTTTAAAAAAACAATGGTTTCACTGCTCCATCTGTACAACCATGGAGGCTCGCATCGACATGTGCGACCTGCTGGTGCAGGAGCCACCTCTGCGGGGCCGTGCAGGACCGCGGTTGGAACGACGCGAAACGGACGGACGCGTTTTACGAGGGTGGCATCCCCAAGGTGGCTGGGAAATCTTCGAAAATCATTGGAGAATCATCGGATAAATAGAAAATTATGGGAAAATCATGGGATAAATACACTATACACGGAGGTTTTTTCATAAAAGATTCATGGAAATTTCATGGATGAATGGGATTACTGGATAGGAAAAAACGCTGGGAAATCCCGGAACTACCGGCATTTGGAGGTGTTTTTAGCTGGGAAGCTCATCTATTGTTTGGGGGGATGGAGTTTAAATCCTCCAGATCACATATCTGAACAGATATATTCCATTATGTTTGTTGATTTATATGTAGAGGTGAGAGAGAGAGGGAAAAAAAGGGAGAAATAAGTATAGAGTTTCATCTACGCATATATTTATATCTATTATTCAGTTTGTATTTATAAAATATACAATCATGTCATATCGACATTATATTCTTTATAGCATGTAAACCCATCAATATTTTGGTCCATATTTTGTTGTCCTTGATCGCTTACATAGGTCTTATATAGGCCTTATAAATGGTAGGTACCTCCAATAAATCGGTACCTGAGTCATGGCCATTATGAATTATCATCCATTGTTCATGGTTAAATTGGTTAATGCTCCATTTTTCATGGTTAAAACCATTTAAAACCTCCATTCTTAATGGCCATTGAAGATCATGGCTGCGCAGGCGTGGGCAGTTTGCGCAGAGACCTGGGCCGTGAGTTGGGAACCTCCGTGGAACTCTTTCGAACGCTTCTTGGACCTGGACCTTCCCCGATCGCTGGGGAAAAGATATGGCAATTGTAATGGGAAATTTCATGGGAATTGTAATGGGAATGTATAGATTAGATTAGATTTGATTTGATTTGATTCGATTAGTAGATAGATAGAATGGAATAATGTTAATTATATTGCATGTTATATTAGGAACTAATTGTCATATATGGAAAGCTATCACCAACCATGAATGGATATATCGAAAGAACAGGTATGAACGGATATGAAAAGATGCCTGAGAGATATGAAACTGAACAAAAAAAACATGATTTATGGTGATTTATGGGAATTCATGTGATTTACTGGCAATAAAATTGTTGGAAATAGAAGCGTTTTTGGATGTTTTTGATGCGGTCCATGATTGGAAATCATGGGGGTTTGGCCCTCACTGTTCTCCCGAGCCCTGGAATCATGGTTTTTATAGGGGAATCATCCCCAAATGGCCCAACTATTCAGGTTAGTGAAATATTATAATTTACCCAGATATATATATATATATACCCAATGTTTATTGGCAACATCCTTTCTCCACCGTGTTCCATGCATGTTATGGCATGCCTTTGGCATTTGACCGATTCATTGTTCAAAGCCAATGGTATTCCAATGGTATTCACCATACCTAAGTTCAACAATTGAGTAGACTTTGGAAACCTGCAAATTCTATCAAATTATATTATACTCCATTAAGTTTCATTAAGTTGATAAACATCATTATCCAGCAGCATATCCTCATTGTAATCCCAGAATACCCGATTAAATCCCATGATATCTCCATTAAAGCCCATAACAAATCCCTTTTCTTCGATGCTTCAACCATATTTTCATATCGTTTTCCCGATCCTTGCTGGATGTGTTGGAGGCTCCGCGAATTGTTGGGAGGTCCCGGTGGAGGAAAACTCACCTGGGCAGTAGGCCTGGTCGGAACACTGGGGATTTATCGTCGAAAATGATGGGAAAATCCACGGGAAAACGGGTCCTAGAAATATCAATGGATATTGTGAATGGGAAGATCATGGGAACACCTCTTTAAATCTATAAATATCAATAAATGGACATTGTGAATGGGAACAACTATAAATTCTTCTAGGTGTATCATGATGTTGTCAATGAGAACTGGGGGGTCCCAAGCGGAGGATCCCCAATAGCTGGATGGTAAACGTTTCGTGGAAAATCCTATTAAATGAAGGAGAACTGGGGGTACCCCCATGACTATTGAAACCCACCGATATGGGAATTTCAGGAACACACATGGGGATTTATAGTCGAACATAGTTGGGAATAGTTCATTTAAACATATCAGACAACCACTGTATATAAGTTTGTTTACAACTAGGCTCTAATGGTTTACGGATGCTGGTGGCAAATAATTATAGACTAGATGATATGACGCTTAGGGTTTTGAAATGACTTATGCCTATTTTGGGACCTTTTGCATCTAAGATGATCTAAGATTCCATGCCGTTTGATTTTGGTTTCAACCATGCAACTGCGACAAACACGCAGTGCACTCTGATCAAGATTTTGTTGCGAGTGGCTATGTTTCATGTTCCATACCTCTTCGGAAGGATTCGCAAAAGAAATCATCCAACTCCTACCGTATTAAAGGCTTTTATAAGGCCTATGTAAGGGAACATCCCCACAAAATATGGCCTTATATGGTACCGTACCTCCATCTTAGGATCCTGAAATTCCCATTGATCCAACTGACCGATTGTCTTTCAAACACCCCTACTTGGAGCGATGATGGCAATGAGGCCGTCCACACTGTCGAGAACAGCACCCAGGGACACATATGAATTCAACAGGCATAGCAGTGTGTGAGCATGTTAGCTGTTGATGCATCTGGTACCGTCGGGTCGCGTGCTAGCCCAAATCCCATCTACAGAGGGGTCTGCATACAGTGACTCTCATGATTGTCTGTCAGAATTGGTTTAAGGACAACTTACACGACGTAATATAGCGCGCCATGTTTTCTGCAGATTTTTTGTGAAATCAACATGGTTTGAACAGCATGGTAATTGGTAATTTGGTTGTTCCCTCAATCAATCAACCCGTGTTTTTTCTCACGGAGGCTTTTGAATTTTGTATGTTCTCACTAGCAATTGTTGAACACACATCCCTGAATGGAAGAAGATACTGAGTGTGAAATACCCAGAATATCTAAGAGCAATGTGGTAAATCCATTAGGAACCATGACTAATATCCCCTTTATTTTACAAGAAATGGGTGATGTAAACTACCTTACCCGCTAATCATGGCAGTGGAGAATCCACTAATTAGTATAATTTATAGATGATATTCCCACTAAAAGCTTCGACTTACTAAATGGAATATCATCTATAAATGGAATATGAATGGATTAACCCACTAAATGGATTTATATCCCACTATATAAATGGATTTATGATATAATTTATAGATTTTCTCATTAAATCCACTAGTAAGATACCCGGCCTGGTAAACTTTCACATAACGAACTGGAACATCACCATGCTATTAATGGAAAAACTCACTATTTCGACTGGGCCATGTTCAATAGCTATACATGTATGTTTACCAGGCCGGGTAGTCATGGCATATCCCAGCCATGGCCATATTTCCTACTCACCTCCTGACATGGCAGGCGCTGATGTCTTTGAAGGCATGAGACACTGGGCTGACAAGGCAACGTGGCTGTCGGGTCAACCTTGACCTGGATTTGACCTTCTCAAAGCTTGATATTTTAGTAACTTTAGTAGATGTTTACCATTGTTAGATACTAACTAGTACTTTAATCTTGTGTAAATATCATGGTGAAATGAGTCCTAACCAGCTAAAAAAATAGATCTTGTGCAAATATCATGGTAAAATGAGTCCGAACCAGCTCAAAAAAAATGATGATGTTGGGGCTTAGGGTATCCAAGATTCACCAGCTGAAAATCTCCAGCGGTTTCTTCAGTGGATTTTTGGAGGTCGAGGCTAACGCCGAACTTGGTGAATCCAATTGGGAGGATCATCCCAATTGGAAAGTGGTGGATGATGTGATGTTATACCCTCTGGTAATTTGTTACATAGCTATTGAAAATGGCCATTTATAGTGGATTTACCCATTGAAAATGGTGATTTTCCATAGTTATGTTAGTTTACCAGAGGGTAACCCCCAATGTTCAATGGGATAATCCACTTTGAGGAAATTAAAAAAAACCCGCCAATTAGATTTAGTATTGCAGGTTGCCTTTTTGTACCGGGTATAGTCCATTCACCGTAAAACGATAAGGAAGAAAAAAAACGATAACGCTAAGTATTATATATACATATATACATGCATGTGTGTATACATACATATATATATATAAGTGTGTCGTGACCAAGTGTAAGTGTGTCCCACAAATGGGGAGAATTTACGTGACACAAAACGATAACAAAACGATAACAAAAACGATAACAAAAGTAACCCGAAAGCCATCTTCAAACACCATGGCCCATTGATCACCTTGCCAAAGCGACTGAATCAACCAGCCAGCCTATGCCATTCCCAGCGTTGGAGACAACCAGCCAACTTAAAGACATTTAAAAAAAGGTCCTCTTCTAAACATGTTGTGGCTACATGTGGCTACGGTGAGTTTGCTCCAAGAAGCGTTTTTGCAGCAAAGGTATGAATGCCCGAGGTCAATGGAAGCTGAACGAATGATTTTTTGGATGGCGGCCGCATGTGCATAAACCTCTTTGATTGTGATAAGTGCAGATAGCCTGCAAAACGATAAGGAAGAAAAAAACGATAAGGTGAAAGCGGCATAAGCAAATTTATACGTTTTTTTTTTTATCACCTCACTTAATGATGGTTAATAATGGTTAATAATGGGATTATCTGCTTGGTGGTTTGGAACCATGGAATTTTATGACTTTCCATATGTATGGGAATAATGATCCCAACTGACGAAATCATATATTTTCAGAGGGGTTGATTGAAACCACCAACCAGTAATAGAAGCCCCCTTTTAAACCGAAAAGTTGAAACATGTTGAAACCCTGCAAATCATGGTTAGCAATGTTTAATCAGGATTGGTAATGGTTAACAATGGTTACACCTTCTGAATGCCGCACGGGGTGTAAAATGTTCAACCCGCCTTGCATCTGGATGTATCTGGGGTGGGAGCAACCTTGTGTTTCCGGCATATTATAGATCATGTTTACCCTCTGATAAAATAACAGTTCGACCCCGCAAATCAGCATTTTTTAGTGGTTTCACTCATCTTCCAACCCCTATCTGGCAGGGTCTATACTTCATATTTCCAGGTATCCTACTTCTCTATCTTTTTTGGAGCCGTAAACCGGTTCCGAGCAATCCCAAAGCGAGAGTTCACCCAGACTGGAGGTTATATCATCAGAAGGCAAATCATTTACAGTTACCATCTGGAGAACAAAAACCAGGGATTGGATTAGTGGGAAATTCAGGATCCAATACATGGAGGTACGTAAACGTACCATGTTTTGGGTCAATGATTGGAAAACTATATGACCAGGGATGAATTTTCTTGCATGCAAATCATGGGAAAACCATGGAAAACTCGCTGAATTTTAGAAAAGGTCATCCTTTTGGCAGGTCGCGGCTTGACCACGCTGGAGTTTTACCTAAATTTGGGCTACCCCAATGTTGAAATTGCTTAGAATCAATAGGAAAAGACCATGGTTTCGGGGACCCATATTTTTAGGACACCTCCATATTATTATTGTCTCTTGTAGTTAAACATGGCCGTGGAAAATGAAAATGGACCATTTAGTCACTATGATTCACTTGTAGAAAACAACTTGTGATTTCCCCACAATCTTCCACAGTAAACCGGCATGATCCATGTCAGATACAGAATGCGTTGTGACAAATTGCCGGAGGGCATCCCAGTTCTAGAACAATCTAACTATAAAGTTATCAGTTACCCTTCAGTAATCAAACATGGCAATCGAAAATCCACCATGAATTTCCCATCAAAACCATTGAACACGTGCATTTGAATAGGATTTTCAATTGCTAAACTTTAGTTTGCTGACGAATGGGTGAAATAACCCAGTTACTAAACCAATTGTCACGAAACCCATGGCCCATACCATTGATTTGCTGGAAAAATCCTTACGGATCCCGACAGGCACGCGATATTCCAGATATATCTCATGAATTTCCCAGGAAACCTCCATTTTGAGTGGTTGAACTCCACTAAATCCACCATTAACTGACCATTTTTCCTGATTAGATCAAGAAATCACCATGAAATCACCATGGAAATCACCCGGCATGAAATCACCAAAATCACCGCGACGCGATCTTTTCCGACGTTTCATCCCAGGCGCGCGAATGTTTGCAGCCGGGCGAGACCTGCGATGCCCTGCTCCTCTTCACCCGTGAGGGGTGGACGTGCAATCGCCTGATGACTGCAGCCCAGGCCGAGCAGAGGGAATGCCAAGGTGGCTGGATGGGGTTATGATCAATGGCCCACGGGGACATCATGGGGATCTTCCATGGATTTTATTGTTATTTCAATGGGAATTCACCAGCCAAAATGGGGTATGAATAGGAAATAGATTCTGGTAATTTGTTACATAGCTATTGAACATGACCATAGAAATAGTGGATTTTCCCATAGCATGGTGGATCTTTCCATGCTTTTTTCTATGTTTACCAGGCCGGGTATGATCAATGGCCCATTACAAATTGAGATGCTGTACCATCTATAGGGAGATTGGTATCTAGGCTCAATACCCCACTATCTGTAATGGTACCACCCATAATGGGCTCAGATTTTCTGGGGATATTCACTGAAACTGATGCTTTACATAGACCTTACATGGACCTTATACGTGGTAGGTATCTCCAATAAATCGGTACCTGAAATGCATTGATATGATTATTCCCCAGGGGAACACGCACAACAAGCGGTAAGCGGTTGACAACCATACTTAGTTCATCCATCTATGGATGGAATAACCTACCAATTGGGGACTTGCTAAACAGGGTTATTGTAGTTAGCCAAGTTGGTGAGCATAACTCCAATTTCAACGTTGGTTTTATGGTAGGAATATCGAATTGGTTAGTGGGGTTTGTAAACCAACTTATAGCCGGGGGGTCATTTCCTTGTGGAAATGAACAACCACAACAACTGGCAGAAAAATGGTCCAACATAAGTGTGGTCTAAAATCTAAAATTGTTTGTTTGAGCGTTTTTTTTTCAGGGCAAACATCGGGTTTCACATCGTCAAACCCCCGCTAAAGGAGGATGGCGACATTAGATCTCCAACAAAGAATGGGAAGTTGAAACTCCAAAAATAGAGGGGTAGTTGAAGATAAAGATTGGTATAGGATGGTATAGGTGATTGTTTTGGCATGTCGTTTTAAGATGTTTTGATTTTTGATGTCCACCTTGCGACAGGAGAATACAGTGGCTGAAGCGAAGATGTTCTCCCTCACGTTGAGTTTCTTAAAATGCAGGATCCCCAAAAACAAGGGCTTCAATACTAAACTGGTCTAATTTCGGATGATTTGGTGGTACCACCATTTTTGGAAACCTTATCGCTTTTATCCACAGCTCACCTGGTACTTTGCCAAGTCAAAGTCCAAGTCCAGATATGTCTCGGAGACCGTGGAACTCACCTGCGCAGGTGAGACTACCCGACCATATCCCATTAAATCGCCTTAAATTCCATCAATATCCAGTAACAACCATTAAATCATTGCATTAACTCCCACTAACATCTATGAAATCCCATTAATCCCCATTAACAACCATTAAATTTAATATCATTAAATTAAGCACTCCATTAAATTCTATTAAATCCCATTAAATCCTATTAAAATCCCACTAAGTCCCACTAAATTCCATGAAATCCCATGAAATACCCATGTGTTGATGGTACCATGTTGGACCTGTTTTTCTCCGCAGGCTGTTGGTCATGCTCCCTGCCACGTCAGATCACTCAGATCTTCAGGGATTGGGCTATCAATCAGTTTTCCTGTAGATGCGTCCGACTGATCATTTGCTTGAAAAAGAGGATTCGGTCATTTCCCGGTCATTTCCCCCCCCAAAAAAAGTGTTTTTTCTGAAATTTCCCGGTCATTTCCCTGATGTTTTCCAAAAAACGGTGGTGTTCCCTGTGATTTCCCGGTAATTTCCCTTAAAAGCCATGGCTTTCCCAAAAACGGCTTTCCCTTTGCCGTGGCGACTCACGACCTCCGAGGTCTCCATCATTCCCATGCCCGAGCACCTGCTGGCAGTCTCCAGCCATCAGGCCCCACGAACGTTTGGGATCCAACAATTACTATATTAATGGACATATCATGGGATATATATATATATATTATATATATATTATATATATATTATATATATATATATATTATATATTATATATATTTTATATATATACCAGAAACAGGTACTATGATTTAGTAATTAATGTATATAACCATTACCATATAATGGGCTAGTATACCGTTATTATGAATCCTTCAGTCTTTTGGTATTAATGATAATATCTACGAACCAGCAACGAATTTATTTTTTCCAGGGTACGTATCTAAGATTTGCAATGATCAATGTATAATGTATGCTATATTTGGTAACATGGATCCCATCAATATACCCCAGTCATGTTAGCATATATACCATACATGGATCCTATGGGTCATGGGATACATATATATATATATATACATATAAAAATACATAATGGGTATTTTAATTGATATGTTTATATGTGTCTGTGTGTACATATGGGTATTTCAATTGGTATAATTATTACTATATTAATGGACTATCATAATCCACAATCTGATGTAAATGAATATAATGGGTATTTCAAGTGATATATATATATAATTATTTATATACATATTTTTACGTACATGTATACATACATATGCATATACATATACATACGCACACACACACACACACTAATAAATAAATAAATATATATATATATGTCAAATGTCATGATATAGAAATAATCGTCATTATATCCAGCAATAACGGGTAAATCATCCATAAAATGATTATAAATGCATGCCCTAGCCCGAACGCCAAAAGCACCCACAGTTGGGCCCGTTGCAACCCCCCCCGCAAGCAGAGGAAGCAATGGATACCCCAACCCAGGCCCTCTGATGCGCAGAAAAAAAGGTGTTGGGAAAACATATGGAGGTTTTAATCTGATTAGTAATGGGTAAATCATCTCATTCTAACTGGAGGTTTTTCATGGAAAAATCCGATATTGGTTGGTTTTAAATCCATGGCTTCCTGTTTCTTTTGTGTGATCCGTGTGGAAGTTGGGTGTCAGCCGATCCATTATATCCGGCTGGTGGTTTCAATGGTAATGTCAACCCTGGATTAATAAACCCTAGGCTGTCTGGTACCATTTAAGTACTAGATTATGACTATTGGAGGAGTACCTCCCTAATTAATAAACACTGGTAAATTAATCCGGGGTTGACATTAACATAATGAACCCATCCGCTATAAAGGTTGATTAGATTTGGCTGTCTATTTGGGATAATGATGGTATATATATTGGCCTTGGGTTCCCCACATGGTTCCCCATAACCCGCACCACTACTGGCGACCGAACCCTGGAATGATGCTAGGATTCGGGAAATTATTCTAATCATTGGCCTTTTTTCAGGTTGGAGTTATGACAATCCAGATATATTGCTAGTTAATGGGTGGTTCATGGATTTATGTATTCCCTAAAATATGGTAATTTCATGTAATGTGGGTAAAACATGGTAAAACAATAATAAATCATCTCCCCAAATCACCATTTTTATAGGTGGTATCTTTACCATTCCCAGTCATGGGTGGTAAAAATGACATTGTTTTACCCACATTACATGTATAACTACAATCAGCCTGGAGATCCCTGGAGTATATAGAATATAGGCATGTTCAAGAATCATCACAAAGATGGAAATAGATTGGAAAATTCCAAGATGTAACTTAATCCTAAAGTTAAAACCCAAGATGTGCCTGTATTCTATCCAATCACATGTACAAGATGCAATATTGTTACCGAAGTTACCTAATGGAAATATCTTGGAAAATAGATTTAATAGATATTTCCTTAATCTTCCCATCCTTTTTGGATATTTCCATCAAATATTCTATCTACTTAATAGATTTTAACTTGTTAACAAACGACCCATCGCCAGAAAATCCCAGGCGAGACATGCCTTGGCACAAGAATTCGCTGCTCCAGAGCCTCACAAGTGGGGCGGCTGGGGGGCCCGGAAAGCTGAAAGCTGGGTGGTAGGTCTGGTGACCTTGGAGTAGGGATATATGGGTGGAAACATGTGAATATTGGGAATTTTCGGGGAAAAAAATATATCCCATAGGATCCATGTATGCTATATATATGGTAACATGGATCCCATCAATATACCCCAGTCATGTTAGCATATATACCAGCACCATGGGTCCTATGGGTATATATATATATATATTATCATTAATTGCACATATGTAATTATATATATGTGGGAATACTTACCAGTTGGATGATGACATCATGAAGTACATTTGGACCGGGATTTAACCAAACCAAACAGACGTTGGGATAGACGGGTGGGCGATGGAACATTGGAATCAGTCGTGAAGATATTAATTCATGTCCCAAGAATCAACCTCAAAGAATGCAGGGTTTGTACGACCCATTTTCAGCAAGATGGTGATGGTTTATGGCATAGTCTTTGGCGCATCACCCAAGCTCTGCTTGAGAATTTGCCCTGAAAGCTAACCCAAGAGAAAGCCATGAATTTTGTGGCTCATTTGTAAATAGGAGAAAAAAAGCGATGCAAATTCGTTCTGTCACGTTCTGTCCAATTACCATATGATCACTGGCCATTTCATGCCATTTCCACAATTCAAATGTCTTCAAATATGTCATATATATATATATATTAAAATACACAATATATTATATATATACTATAATATATATATATAACATATATATATATATAACATATATATATAATATAAGATTAACATATGTAATACAATACATATAATACAATATATATATATATAATATTATATTTATATTTAATATTTTATTTATATATAAATCATTTTTAATATATATATATAATATAGAATATATATACAATATAATGTACAACGTATAGCATACAATATACGACATATAGTATATAATGTATATTTGCATATAATATTATAGATATATATATATATATGTGTGTGTGTGTTACATATATGCTGAGGCATACATTTTGCATGGCGGTCCCCAACTGCCTAAGCAGAGGTGCTTTGGGGATGATGCCACGAAGCATCGCGAAGTTGCTTGGCCACTGTTCAGTCAGAGGCGCCTGGTGAGGCCCTACAGTTTGCTAAGTTGCTTCTTGCAACTCCAAGAACTCAGGGTACCCTCTGGTAAACATAGGCAAATTGCCATTTATAGTGAGTTTTCCCATTGAAAGCATGGTGATTTTCCATAGTTATGTTAGTTTACCAGAGGGTATTCTAGATATGGGGGTGGGTCAAAACCTATTACTATCAATTTTAGTGGGATCAACATCTAGCTATACCAGCTATTTGGAGGTTCACTAGGTAGCAGGGTTCCATTGGCCATTGATTAGACGGCTTGCGGGTCTCACCTTGTATTGGAGACCTCGCGGCTCGCCGTGGCCGATGAAAGCATCAGTAGCCACCTGTCAATGGATAATTACAGGATGGAGCTAGCTAAGTTGAGATATTCATGGTGTTGAAAAATCAACTTATATCTGGGGGGGCACCATCCTGTAGTGATTGAGGATATGGTTGAGTTGCGATTTTAACCACGCATAGTAAACCCGGTAAATCCAATAATAAACCATCGCAATATCACCAGAAATGGGTCCGGGTGGTATAAACCCTCCAAAATGAGATGTTTGTTGTTGGCTTTGCCACCTCCCCTTTGATAAATTTCACATAGCTATATGGACAATGGAGCATTTCTAGATGATTTACCTATTATCATAGAATTGGTTTAAGGGAAAATTTACAGGAAAACCATATATTTGCTGGTAAAAACCATGGTTTCCGGTTAAGATTTTCCCTTAAAACCCATCCATTGATATTGAACATGGTGATTTCCATGGCTATCTTTAACCGTCACCACCCTCCGAGAACTGGGATGGTGCAGCCGCGGCTAAAAATCGTCAGGTTTTGCTTGTCCAGGGACGATGTCTGCAGGATCTATGCGCAGCAAGTGGCCAAACTCTGATGGCGCTCGGGAGCTCAAAGGCTAAGAGTACAGCCATTGGATTTGCGAAACCCAATAATGGAGGTTTAACCATGAAAAATGGAGGTTTAACCAATTCAACCATGAAAAATGGATGATAATGATGAGGGAGATAACGAAAAGGAACCGATTGATTGGAGGTACCGATTCCATATATTTTTGGCCTATTTTGTAGGCTTAATTTTCATGAAATATCACCACAAAATATGGCCTTATATGGTACAGTACCTCCATTTCAGGATCCTGAAATTCCCATTGATAAAATGGAGGTACTATGAGGTACGTAAACGTACCATATTTTGGGCAATATTTCGTGGGGAGATTGCCTGAAATTTTGACCTTACATTTTTCTCAGTGCCTCTGATTTAGGTACCTGGAAGCTTTGGAGGATCAATCTTACCTGATTGATACCTGGTAGCAGGGCTACTGCCACCTGATCACCTGGTGCATCTTATCATCCAATCTTTTAAATAGTATATATCTCATCATCCAATCTTATTAATAGTATATAGTGATATTGATCACCATTTTTGTTTAAATTGTTTAAGCGGAGTAAGCTCCTTTTTTTTGCTGGCTAACCATCATTGGCTTTCCACATGTTCCAACCCTCCATAACCGACTTCAGGGATGAAAGCACCACCATTAATTGGGATATGGGGCCCCTATGCCCCTATGTCTATGGCAGTCTATGGTATTCTATGATTATATAGCTATGTCACATGTCGTCTATATATACTATATATGCATATGGAGTTTGATATCCACTTTGTTCATGAAAAGTACTTGGCCCAAGCAGGCTCTGACAGCCTTCTCCTCCGTGATGTTCAACCCCACCTGAACTTCCCTTGAAGGGGGTGCTCAGTTACAAGGAGAATGGAAATACCCTGTAACTTCACATATAGCCACTGAACATGGCCATTTAGTTCGATGATTTACCAATTTTGTCAGCATGGTGATGTTCCAGTTCGCAAACTGCAACACATAACCATAGGGTATATGTTTCATGATATTCCGTCATCAATCACCATTTTCTGTTAGTTATATAAATCCTATATCCCCATGATAATCCATGAAATCACCATTTTTTTGTTAGTTATGTAAATCCCAGGTCTTCACCTAGGTTTTACCAGATGGTACCTCATGGCTTCAGGCCTGGAAGGCTGAGCCGCAAAGCCGGATCAGCTGTATCAGCTGCCTAAACAGGGGTCATAGTGCTCAGCCGGGCTATGGCATATAGGGCTCCTGTTTACCCAGCCACTCTTGGGGCATCCCAACTGGATGTTGGTTTTTAACCCATGTTTTTTTCACCATTTTTTACGGATGCGTTTTTTCATACAGCTGGCATTTTTCCGAAAAAAAACTTGCCCTGCGGGATGGATCGGCCACGCTTCCCTGGAGAGCAAAAGTTCGAAAACGGTCCTTTCATCTTAAACCAACCCAGACTCCCGAAAAAGCTGGAGCATTGAAATTGATGTGATGAATTTTCACCAATGATCCATGAATTGACATTCGCCCAGCCGAAGTTGCCTGAACCATATGCCCATTTTTTGTGAGCCTAGCTTCCATTCGCCGCCTGCTTCTTGGTTTTGCAGCTAAGCCATCGGCGGGAACGGCACCCACGATTTCCCACTGGCAAACGTCAACTGGACCGCCTGGACCGTGTGGTGGATGCCGGAAAAATTGGAGAGATATGCTGCTTGGTGGTTTGGAACATGTTTTATGACTTGCCATTCAGTTGGGAAGAATCATCCCATTTGACGAACTCATATTTTTCAGAGGGGTAGGTAGGTATACCACCAACCAGATATGGCTTAGTCTGAAAATAGGATACTTCCAATTCCTCTAGATTCTCATGTATATATATATATATTTATAGGCACATGTCCCATGGTGTCCCCATGAAATCTCCCCTGATAGCCTCCATGGCTGTCCGCCAGGCTCAGAATCTCTGCGGCCGCTGCGAGGTCACGTGTGGATGCTCAGATGGTGCTTCTTGGAACTCCATGGGTACCATCTTCCTGGGACTTTCAGGATCCATTTTATGGAGGTACTGTACCATATAAGGCCATATTTTGCGGGGATATTCCCTTACATAGGCCTTATATTCTCTGGTAATTTGGGATTACCCTCTGGGATTATGGGATTACCCTCTGGGATCCATTTTATGGAGGTATGTTAGTATGGATTACCCGGCCTGGTAAACATACAAAAAGCTATTGAAAATGGCCATAGAAATAGCTATAGAAATAGCTCATTTACCCATTAAAAGCACGGTGATGTTCCATCGTTTTTTGTATGTTTACCAGGCCGAGTACCCTCTGGGATTATGGGATTCAATGGTATGATTTTAATGGGTTTTTTCATCGGATTTCGTGGGATGATGTTCCATGATTTTCCCTCTGATAATTTCTTACAGTTTGCGAACTTGAAAATGGCCCAGTCGAAATAGTGAGTTGTCCTATTAATAGCATGGTGAATTTCCACTTCGTTATGTAAACGTTTTTCAGAGGCTATTTTATGAAGGTACGGTAGGTCACCATATTTTGGGCCATATTGTGTGGATCTTCCCTGATTTTGTTAGGCCTGAAAACTAGGCCTTTTATATGGTAGGTACCTCCAATTTAGGATCCTGGAATTCCCATTGAATGTAAGACCCTAGTGCTGGGTAAATTTGATCACGACCGAACCCTGTTCTCCCGAAGCCTGGGAATCATGGTTGATAAGGGAGATCATCCCCAAATGGCCCAACATTTCAGGTTAGTGAATTTATTTTAATTAACCCAGGTAGTGCATTATTATGGATTATACAGGACTCTACATCACTAAATATGGATAAGTTATAGTTGCCATATTAAGATATGAAGATGTATTGACTAAAAGGAATACAGCTTGGTGGTGCAATTCCAGCAGTGGTTATATAACCCGTTACATCTTAATGCCGTGTCATCAATGGCTCGAAAATTCCCGAACGAAATGGAAGGCCATGGAGAGCCAGAAACATGATCGAACTAAACGGGCAATTGTCCAGCAAGCCATGTTTGATTACCGGAGATTAATTATATAAAAATGAATGATGACTACAGTATATGTTTTAATGTTCGGGATAAACCGAAGAAATCCAACAAGAATGCGCAATATATAAATAAATGTGTATATATATATATAACAATCTGAGTGTTTTTGGTGTCTTGGTAAAATGATGGATTTACTCCCATTAATGGGTTCAACTTCAGTTCATGAACATAGTGCAGAAGCCAGAGGATTTGGAGTGTCATCATCCCAGAATTGGTTGCCATGTGGGGAGAACTATTTGGAGCTATGATTTTCGCAAAAAACATCGAACTAAATGGAGGACTGTCCAGCTAGCCATGTTTGATTACCGGGCAATCTGTGTTTGTGGCTTAGATGATCTTAGATGTTGGTTTTAGCTAAGTTGGTGAACATAACTCCAATAACTATGATTTATGGTAGATATATTACGTACTATGGTTTATAAACCAACTTATAACTGGAATAACCATGATTTATGGTAGATATATCTATACTATTCCTATGGTTTATAAACCAACGTTCACATCACTGGGGGGTGGCACTACCTTGGCCCAAACATTGGAGAGATGATCCCAGTCTCGGCGACCAATTTTGGCTCATCCGGGGCAGCTATGCCATCCAACAGGCAGCAATTTTTGCCTATTAAGTGGACAGTTCAGGAACCAGATTAGCCACCAAAATTACCCTCTGTTAAACATACAAAAAGCTATTGAAAATGGTAATTTATAGTGGATTTACCCATTAATAGCATGGTGATTTTCCATAGTTATGTAAACGTTTACCAGAGGGTAAGTTGCTGGCTAGATGATATTCGTATATCACCGAGTTCTTTTTTTCTCAAAAACCTATCTTATACACATCTCTTAACATATCTACCCATTCTTCAAAAGTCATGCAATCATCTGTAACTTAAACATGTCAAGTCCTTAAAATATCTAGCCATTTACCCAAAGAAAAGAAACATCCTCCGCAACTCTTCCAGATTTTCTTCCAACAGCGGCAGTGCCATGGCAGAGATCAACCCCTGCACCCCGCCACGGAGAAAATCCGACCTTGGGCCCCGAATTTGGAGTCAGGAGGGGTTCCAAGGGAAGGGCAGCTGGGTGGAGGAAATCAACAACACATCAGCCTGGATGAACATATCATGACCTTGAAATGCTGAGAAAAACCATGCGGATTTCTAGATTTCAATGATTTAATCCAGAAGGAGTTGATGGGATATATGATTTGCCCTTGAAATTTATATATATACATTGATTTCCATTAAAAAAACATTTAAATCCATGACACAAATATGTATCCATGATTAAATCCCATTAAATCCCATATATTATAGATATATATATACACCATCTGGTTATTTAACATAGCCATGGAAAATCACCATGTTTAAGTTCGGTAAACCATCTATTTCTATGGGCCATCTATACCATGGCAAACTCTTAGTCATAACCAGAGGGTATATGCGAAACCTATAGTTGGTTTATAAACCATAGTAGGTGTAGATATATCTACCATAAACCATAGTGAAATTGGAGTCATGAACCAACCACATTTTCCAGTAAATCCCACTAAACCACCAACCACTGATCATTTTTTAACCATCATGAACCATATATTAACCATATATTAACTATATATTATAGATAGATAGATAGATAGATAGATAGATATAGATATAATATATGGTTAATGATGGTTAATATGTGTTTTTTTTGGAAGTTATGATTATTTTTAACATATGTTAACCATATATATATATTTACATCCCACATTTTCCCATGATTTCTCCATGATTTTACTGGATCAGGAGTCCGGCGGGGCCGCGTTTTCGCCGTTTTCGCCCTTGCAGTGCTTGCGGCGGGGGCCGACCTTTCAACCGTGCCGTGGTGGGACAAACAGATTTGGGATTGCTATACTTGACATGTGTTTGGGTTTGTCAACCTATGTAGAACCACCAATCATGTGGACACACAAATCACTTAAGAAATTGGAGATTTTTGCCACCCCTGGCTGTCTGGCTGAAACTCAGTAGGAGCCCGAAGCATGGTGAAGCAATGGATTCATCGAACTCGGGCCTTGAGACAAAGTTGTACTGGTTAGTAACCGGCGATTGGGGAGAAAGCAAAACTGACTCAATGAAATACACTGCTTGGTGGTTCCGAACCATGGAGTTTTATGACTTTCCATTCAGTTGTGAAATTCAGAAAATCCCAACTGACGAACTCACTCATATTTTTCAGAGGGATTTATTTTTCAGAGGGATTTATAATAAACAATCCCCAATTTCACCATAAATAGGTGGTATCTTTACCCAAATGGGTGGTTTATGACATTGTTTTAACCACATTAGTTATTTAACCAATCCATACTAATCCCTGGGCCCATCTAGGATTTTTTTCAATGGCCATTTCAGGAACCTAAATTGGAGGCACCTACCATATACAAGGCCTAATTTTCAGGGAATATCCCCGCAATTCATATGGCCCAAAATATGGTACTTGCTAACGTACCTCCATGTATTGGATCCTGAAATTCCCATTGGTCAGAGTTAAGGGTATACTAGCCCATTATACCATTATCTTATACCTATTATACCATTATTAATGGTTATTAGCCCATTATGTAATGGCATTATCAGTAATATTAACATTTTCATGGTTAACCTGTAACTGATGGTATTCTCAGTAAAATTATAATGGTATTACCAGTGGTATAATATTACTGGTTATGGTGGTATTGTCAGTAAGATAATCTTATAGTGTATTCATTTATAGTGTATTTTCCCATGATATTCCCATGATTTTACTATGATTTTCCCTTGTAGGAATACTAACCCCAGGGCCCATCTAGTAATTTATGCTATATAATTTTACTGTATCTGATGGATCCCAGAATCCCAATCATATCAATGGTAATTTCAGGATCCTAAAATGGAGGTACTGTACCATGTAAGGCCATATTTTGTGGGGATATTCCCTTAAGGCCATACATAGGCCTTATATATGGTAGGTACCTCCAATTTAGGTTCCTGAAATTACCATTGATCATACAGCCCCGAAATTCAACAAGTTTTTGATGAAAACTCCGGTCACCCATTTTCTAAAAAAGTCACCGTTGGGTGAAAACGAAATGGCCATCAACGTTTCATGTGGGTTATACTGGTTGGTGGTTTCAAACATGTTTTATTTTCCATAATATACGGGATAATCCTTCCCATTGACGAATATTTTTCAGGATGGTTAAAACCACCAACCAGTATAAGTCAGTTACCAGATGATGGATTATAGCCCAATTACATACATCCACTTACTAACCACTTAAGAAATCCCAGGGCCCATCTACCTACAACCCCCTCAACGAGATCATCATTGGTTCCACCTCTTCACGCCACAATTTCTTTGAGTATTGTTTTCATATGGGATGTCATCCTTCCCATTGACGAACTCATATTTTCCAAAATTGTTAAAACCACCAACCAGTATCTATCTATTATTGCATAGCTGAATATGGGTCTTTCTGAAAGTGGCGGATACCCTCGAATTGTTGCTTCCTTTATGGGGAAAATGATGGCTGACCTTTATATGGAGCCAGACTAGCCACTACCAGTGCATCATCTGCGGCTCTTCTCACTGCCATGTCAATCCCCATTGGTTCGATAATTTCGAGGGCGTTCACAGCGGCTAAGCTTCTAGGCTTCCATAGGGTAAGTTACTAATAGCCATTTATAACCCATTTATAACACATTGATATTTCTAGGCTATAACCCATTTATAACACATTTATTTTTCTAGGTTATAACCCATGTTGAACCGCACTTACGAATTAGCCTGAGACGTCTGTCATGACTGGGATGATGATGCTGGCATGTTTGCCTACATCCAGCTATGACATACTGGAGCTGATCTGCCTTTCACT